AGCTTACACTTGTTTTCCAACCCTAATATATAACGGCACCTAATAAGAAACATTGTTTGAACGTTCCTACGGCTATTTACACTGATTTTTATTACCTGGATCACCAAAAAACTTACCGAGAAAACCACCCGTACGCTATGCCATGGCTGCAGACGTACCTTGGGTTGCCTGACTCCATTCGGAGAGACTTAAGAGTGGCTGCAGGGCAGCACTGTGTGGCTCTCTAGGGTTACCTCTGCATTTGAGACTGAGAGGAAAGGATCTAGAAAACTTCAATAAAAAAGGAACGCCAATTAATAAGTTGCCGAAGTAACGGATTCAATCACGAATCAGAAGGGCAAGTCAAAATTAAATTTCTTCTGTTTAAAAAAGGAACAAAAAAGTGCCACTGAATCGTCATTGTATTCAGCTGGTGAGTGTGTTACAGGCACTGCCGCTGGCGCGGTGCCCTTCTCTGCAGCTCTGCGCCCCGCATCACTGCTGACATGCCCGTCACCCCCAGCACACCAGCAGCTCTGCTTCACCTATGTTTCCCAGAGCAGTCTTCCCCGAGAGGGGCACGGCCCAGCCCCAGCTTGTTAACTGGGACTGTTTGATGAGGAGGGAGCGCAGGAACGTCCCCGGCAGTTTCTGAGAGGAGCGGAGGTGCAGAGCTGACCTCCGCAGCATTCTGCACTGTCACAGTGTCCCGATGCTTCATTCTGCCAGGCTTCATCCAGCTCAGACAGGAACCCTCCGTTAACTTTAGAGTCAGACCTTACTGGAGATGACAAGTTTGACTAAATACAAATACTCACGTAAATCAAGTCTTCAATTAAGTCTCTATAAAATAACGTCTCAAAGCATTAACAACATTTTTAGTTGTTTGTTAACTAAGTGATAAAAAAATGACAAGGTGAAAGGTGTCTTAATAATTTATGCTAGTATTTCTCATTTCTATTAAATTGTTAAACTACAGATAATCCTTAGAGTATTTTCAATAAACTCTGTTGCATTTTCTAGCTAAAAAAAAAATACTCTGAAACAAGCTGTACAGAAAAAACCCATGTAATTCAAGAGGGAGCACAGAAATTTTGGAAGTGATCAAGGCATAAACAAAAACATGAAATGGAAGTAAGCATCCAAACCAGCAAAATATATTTAAGCAATATCACAAATACACACACAAAAAAATGCATTTACAGGTCTAAAATTGGTACGTCCAGTAAAAATCCTCCCACAAAAAAGTATTTATACACAAGAAATTTAACTCCGTTCCACTGCCTACTGCTGGGAACAGAGATGCTTTACAGCTAGCACAGCATTGATTACGCCTTTGCAAAATAAAGGGAAAACTTAGGGTGAAGAAACTGTTTCTGGGAAAAACTTGAAGGCTGGACAACAACAATCACAAGGCATACAAAGCATAAGGAACTGCAAATATGCAACTCTGGTAGTGCAAAAATGAAAAAGAATGGCTTTTTTCCCCAATACTTGTTCAGAGAAAAATACTACTGTGAATTTGCAATTCAAATTCCTTTTAAAGACTTAAATTTGTAGGACTTAGTGCATTTGCATGTGTCAGCAAGGCTGATGCTATACAGGAAGTAAATGAAACAAAGTCAACATGAAATTACTGCTGTGATACAAATTTATAACAATCTTTATAACAAAATGTCTGAATATACAGTACAGAGACAAGCCTCTGAAAAAAAAGTGTAGATTTTCTCCATCCAGACAATTTATAGGCATGTTACCTCTAAAGAAAACCAACTTGTACGTACCTGATAGCATATGTAACATTCTTTGGAATTAGATTTAAATTTCTCTTTCAGGCGTTGCCCCTGTATTTCATACAGGGAACAGCAGAGGGATAACTCCTCACTCCTCATGGGGATCAGGAGCTCCTGGTGCATCATCCCTCGAGCACATGCCTGGGGCTGGGCACAGACTGGTGGAGGTCTGTGAGTGCCAGGAGCGGGAGCAAAACTCCACCTGGGAACATGGGTCACGGTTGGACACCTTGGTATAAGTTGGTGTAGAATCACGGAATTAATACTGTTGAATTCCTGAGGCTCATCATCCCACACCCTGGGTTTTACTGCGTTGTGAAACACACAAGACAGTCTCTTTGTCCAAAAAGGCCTCACAGTTTTGAATGGCTGTAAACATTTCTTTTAGTTTAAAATCAGCATTTTCACCATGTCTTTGCTGTTTAAAAAAATAATAAAATCAAAAGTAGGAATACCTTAGCTCATGTTAAAACTATTTCAAATTCAGAAAACTAGAGTACTTTAATTGAGAAAACTGAAACAAATCTGCAAACATGGGATTAGTTTTGCAAATAATCTTTTTGCTATATTTTTAGCTCACTCTTTATCTAACTTCCAGCAAACAGCTACAGATCACCTGGTCTATCCTAGAGAAAATCTAACAGTTTGATAAGTACGCTGGAAAATGTTTAATAAACAGAGGCAAAAAATCAGCACCAACTTTCACATTTGCTTCGCCCAGAGCCAGGCCCATCACTGCACTGTAGAGTGGACACTGCTCACAGTCCCAGGACTGGTCAGGAGTCCCACACTTCTCCTGTTCTACTCAATGTACAAAAAGAAAGATACGGATGATATCCATACAACTGTAACAGTAGCAGGTACAGAGTAAGTTTTACCCATTATAATTGCTGGAAGTGTCATGGTTGACACTCAAAGCTTTTCCAAAACAGAAAGGACTAACTTCGTGACTTTCAAATGTTCACAGGGTGACCATGGGGTATTACAGTGTTGCTTTACGGGGACTTTGTTAAAAATTTCCAGTGCTCAAGTTGGAACAGTTTATGATGCAATCACATGAACTTTTACTGAAATAGCAGTCAAAATAATGGTGATTTTACAAACCAAATGATTGCCTTTATGCAATCTTCTTTCTCTATACTCAAGGGCTGTTGACCAGAAATGGCTGAAAATGACTTCTGCAGAGGAGGCAGTGCTGCTCTTCTGCAACCTGATGGATGCTCATTCAGCCTAACTTCAAGTATCCAATTTCTGTGCTTGAACGAGGAGCTTAGGTACCCAGCCCAGGCTCCAGAGGACGACTTTGAACAGAAGAGCTCTAAGGTTATTCAACAGGCATAAGGGGTTTGTTTGCTTGACCTTTGGCATATGAAAGCAAAAGCAAAACAAATCCGATAGGCACAATCACAGGAAAATTCATCCTAAAATACAGATCAAATGAGCCTGTCTCTGGAAATACTTATTTCTCTTTGTTAATGAGCAGTGGAGCCCTTCAGGTCACTAGTATGGATTTAGATGTCCAGCTGTCTAGCTTTCAGACATCTGAATTGAAATGAGATGACTCCTACCTCAGACTCCCATGTTAGAAACTTAAGTTGGATACCTGAAGTTGGATGGTGCAATTACCCTCTGTCCTTACCGAGAACAGCCACCTCTCGAATCCAGGACAGAGCTGCAGTCACAGCATTTACTTAGAGAAGACCCCATGGAACTGAGTCGTGGTAGGATATCTCATCTCATCTCATCTCTCATTTCTTTATCCTCTTTTCACTTTATGGAAGGGGACAGAAAAAAGCAAAGCGGAGAGGGGGGTGGTGTCTTGCTAAACAAAGTGGTGTGATACACACTAATGAAGAAACTTACTGGCTGTCCCTTGTAAATCCTCATTTTGAAGTTAGTGGGTGCAAATTTCTCTAGCTATTGCAGATCTCATAATTTAATCACACATTTTATTTTCAGGAATTACTAACAGGTACCAGTGTTAGCAGATTCTCTATCTTAGCTGGCTAAACAGTTCAAATGGAATTGGAAAAAACCTTGGTGGCAAAGACTTAAGGAGCTCCTAAAGTCTTTTCAGTTCTTTAAATAAAAAAATTAATAAGTTATAGTTTAGACAAATATCAGCTAATGCCTAAGACTTTTATTAAAATACTGATGGAAACAGAAAAAAGTAAACTCTAGGTCTACTGGATTGCACGCACATATGCAAAAAAAACACCAAAAATGGTACTGTCTTAGCTGCTTAGTTGTTTCACTCCTTATTTTCTGCACTTGAGAAAACAAGACCAGAAAGTGATGCAGCTGCTCTGACTGAAGAAGAAAGGCTGGGGCAGGATTTCTGGAGTCCCATCCAGCTTTGTAAGTAGAAGGATTAAGATTAGGACCTTGTGGCTAGGAGAAGAGAGTTGAGGAATACCCAGGATTCACTCCTGTGCTGAGGGAATAATTTATTCTTTCTGACAAACTTTGCTCTTGATTTTAACAGATAATGAATGCATCGGTGCAATTCTGTACCCAGCATTTAATAGAATCAAGGTCTTGGGCACAGCAAAGACTTCAGACAAACATGGAAGCAAGACAACACTTGTACTTCCATTTTTTATCTATGGATTATTTTCTTTGTTAAATTCCTTGGCTTTTGTTGTTTGTTTTGTTTTTTTGTTTTTCTTCAGGGTAGCTTCTCAAAATACAAACTAGTAAGAGTGTGGAAAAGACAGAAGCACCTCACCACGTGAGGGAAAAACTCTCAGTGCACTTTTTATGCCATATATGAATTAACTACTGGGAATATTTATAAAAAAGAAAAGATCACCAACAAGATACTGAATTTTGAAAGTAACAAGGAGAGTTTTTAAAACTGCACTTCAGAAAACATTGTCTGAGCAGCATCAGAACATTAGAGGGTTGTGTGATTTGCTTGTTTTCTGTGGCAAATTTCCACTGATGGCAGTAGAGAACTGAGGCAGGGTCTGAAAATGTAAAAGCAAATAGAACTAAAGATTCTTGGTAACTACTTACCTACAATGGCTATTAATTCTTCTATTTTTTTGGCTCAGTGCTGTTTTATAATACCCTTGACCCCACCATGTAATTTTAAGGACATATAAATTGATTTGAGTATTAGCTTGGTTCCTTTCCTGTATTTGAACCTCATAGTGGATACAAATGGCAAACCACCATGCTATACCCTTCACAGGAGCTGCTGGCCATCAAACTGGTGACTGAACAAAGGCTGCTTTAAGTAATGTATATGAACATCGAACTGTCTCCAAAATGCATGGTCATATTAAATAAGTCTCTTACATATGTACATACAGACCAGTAACAAAACTCAAATATCACAGTCCTACCCTCTTCTGTTTAAGATCGCAGTTTTTAACTGTTGCATATACCGTAGCTGCTCAAAGAGCTCAATAAAGTGAGTGTAGCAGACCTTTTCAGAGAAAAATAGTCATATAAAAAGTTGCAAGTACAGCAAAGTGAGAAAGTTCCCAGAGGTCTCACTTAATTTCCTCTTTGGTTCCTAATTAGGATTTTACGAGTTTGAAACCCTGTCCTGTGTCCAGCACTGTGGGAAGAAACCAACTCATTTTCAATCTTTTCAAGCACCTAAAGCATGCTTTACATACCCAGAACAGATTTAGACCACAAAACCAGTTTGCCAAATGTACTAATGGATAGGTGACACGTGGGAAGTATATCATCCAGTGTTTGGCAACATCGCTTCCCGTTGGCAAATGCAAAGTGTAGTCACTCCAGTGTTTTGACACACCGTACACCGCTTTCACTGTACGTCCCTTTTCGGACCAGCTGATATTGCTGTCGGGGTTACAGTTGTACTCAACCCATTGCCTGGTGAAGTCACCAAGCTGCGGAGGGTCTGCTTCCTCAATGTCTACAACTCTGGCCATTTCTGCTCCTTGCACGGCAACATACTGGTCATTTACTTTTCTTACTTCTTTAACCCAAGGCTGAGAGTTCTCACAGTCTAAAACGATGATGAGTCGAGAACAAAAAGTGCCGTTCTTTTCTCTCCACCACTCCAGAAGTGTGTCAAGTCGTAAAGCATCACCTCCTGCCACAAGGAGAAAGTATTTTAAGATTAGCAGGAAGAAACAGAAGCCTCTAGAATTTTGACTGCAGGTTCCAAGAACCCCTTATTTTAACAACATGGACCGAAGCAATAGAAGCTTTCAACTGATCCTCCCTGCTTGTAGATGTTGCAGGTCTCCAGAGAGATAGTAACTGATTCCACCTGACTTGCTGTGGCAGATGAGGCCCTTAACTCACCCTTGATTAAAAAAGAAAAAAAAAAAAAAAGAATCCCTCACAGGGTGAAAGAAATTACAGCCTGCTGAAGGGATACCTGGACATAGCTAAACAAGGGAAGAAAACCAGAAATAGAGTTTATTTTGTATTAAATTCTTAATAATTTTAATTGAAAAAGCACTCTTTTTAATATGTTTTTATTAATACTTGAAGGACTCCTCTTTTAAGGAAAAGAGAGGACTTTTGAACATAACACATGCTAACAGTTTCAAAGCACAAAGAGAAAGCCACGTAAAGGCATAACCATCACTTTGGCTTGAAAAAATCATGTGACCAGAATAGGAGAGATTCACTCTATAAACATAGTTGTCTTCAGAGCTTCAAGAAAATTAAAATGGATTTGTATGGATTTGTAGCTCAGAGTTAAAGCTTTGGGCATGCTATCTCAGTTAAAATAAAAGCAAAATTACAGGGCTACAACTTTATCCAAAAAAGTTGCAAACCTGGAAAATTTAGAACCAAAGACAATCTTAATATACAAACCTACAGCAATGACTTGTCTTGGTACACGATCCCCAAATTGCTGTAGTTATTTACAGAAGAGACTTATATAGAAGCTGCTTCCCTTTTCTAGGTAAGCTTTCTGTGTCCATTAGCAGTAAAAATTTCTTTATTTGTTCATGTTTTAGAGGATTATAAATAAGTTTTATTTTACTGTAACTATGCAGGGCTGCAGGTGATTTCAAAACAGTACCGGACAGAACTGCCCAAAGAAAACCATGTCATCCTTCACCCCCCCCCCCCCCACATGCTCAGCTTCTAACCCTACTGACCTCAAACGCATGGAGTCATTGTCCAGCACAAGATTTAGGCACCAAGCTGTGTAAGAAATCCACGTGTCTGGCCACAGCTGGCCTTTGGCAGGTTTCGCAGGCAGTTAAGCCAACGGTTTCAGCAACAGAGAGAAAGCTTTATTAGCCCAGCTCTTGCCTTTGCCTTCACTCAGAGAATATGACCTCCCAGGTCGTTTGACTGCTCATACTTTATGCATGACTAGTTAACAGTTTCTTTTATACATATCTCAGCTTCCAACAACAGAGAAACATTATTAGTGAACTAATAAATCCAGTAAGTCTCCTTTAAAAGATGTCACTACAAAGCAAAGACTACATTGCTACTGCTGTGCTGTATCACGGCATAAGCTGGCAAAGAGACACTACTTATTCTATTAGATCTGAATGTTGTATTTCATTGTTGCCGTCTCTGTTCATCCTCTTCAGAGGTCAGAGGACGGTACATATTACTGGAGCTGATGAGCAAATGTTCCATCTGTCACAAAATGCCACTGTCCAATACACGCAGCACAATTACACAACCAAACAGCATTCATCTTTTCAGTTTATACTTCAAGTTACATTCAGGAGCAGTGCTATCTGGAAGAAGTATCAGGTTGCACTCCATGATTTATCTAAAATTAATCACAAAACAGGATGCAAGATATGTGACAGCTGCCTGTTCCTTTTATGTGACTATACAGATCTCCAAGTATAAACTGAAGACGTGCTTGGATAGAGAACTGAAAAAGAGCTTTGTGAGAAAGCTGAACACCAGTGCATTTACATGCTATATCTTATAGCACAGAAACTTTCTTTTTATTTTAACGGTGACCTTGGCCCTTATTCTAAAAGTGAAAACAGAGTTTAATTTAGGCTATACCTACCTGAACAGATATACAGAGACCTGAGCTACCCTGTCACACTCCAGGCTGGCCAGATAGGCAGGACTGGGCTGAAAGCTGTCCAATTTTTACAGCAACATTTGGCTCTATATACGCTATAACCGTGTCTGTGCTGCCGGCTGGAGCACGGGTGGGAGGCAGAGTTTTGCTGCTAGCCTGCTCCACACAACGTGTGGACACACTCAGCAATTGCACGGGGCGGCAGCTGCTCTTACAGACAAACCACCCTACTCTCACAGAAGTCACTGAGCCACCCTGGCATACACTGCGGTACATCACTCACGCTAACCTCAGAGCACAGCTGTGGCTTTTTTAAATCACCGAGATTTTTTGAGAAAAAATACACACTGCTCTTCAGCAGGTCTAACGGTTCAGGCATGGAGTTGCACCTAAGCAGGTATACAGCCTCCCAGATGAAAACTGACCTCTGCCTGAACACACGCAAAACTAGCATATGTCTGCACTGTTGAAGAGCACATGCCACTGGAGAGAGATTCTTGACAAACAGCCAGGGGCTCGCAGGCAGACTGCTATCCAAGAGAACTAATTCTGTCCCAGGAAGAAAAAAAGTTGCAAATTTTCAACGTATTTACTACAAGATTCACTTTTTGCACACAGCAACCTCAGAAGCCCAGTTCCATATAGCGGGAGAGCAAGGCTAATCCTATCAATGATTTGAGAACTTCAGTAGGTTTACCAAAGAATACAGTTGAGATAGGACTGCCTATCATAAAGAGATCAAGAACAGGCCAAGAAAAGGGGAAATGGTGAAGTCTATGCCAAGCATACCATAAGGCATTAAACTGGCACTTTATATAGGGGTTTGTAGTCTTGAGGCTACGCTGCACCCACAGGGACTCCCAAACTCTAGGATGTCAGCAAACCATAGCTGTTTTCAGAATACAAGGTTTGCTAGATGTTTGAAGACCTGCTTTTCTAGTGTGGATTGTATGCCTGCCTCCTATTTCTTTTATCAATTCCAACTTTTACAAAAGAAGTAACAGGGCACATCTTAAGGACGTAAGTGCAGTCCTTCATGACAGCCTGACGCAGTGACACAACACTGTATAATTCGCTCTGCCATGTCCAGGGAATGACAAGAGATTATGCTCATTCATTACGGTGAACAAATATTCCTCAAAATACAGGGGACATCTGTCTCTAGAGCAGGAGGGGATCATTTCCATTTTACTTTTCTGGAAAAAAAAAGTGATCTTTAAAGTTAACTTGTTGAATTGTAAGGGGAGTATGAAGTCATGTTTAAACCTGTAAGCATACCTTTGGGGTAAACAATATTTAAACAATTTTGAGAAAAAGTGTAAGATTAGTAAGCTGCAAAAGGATTTTTATCAAACTGACTGAATACTAAAATGAGACAGAAGTAAATGAAGTAACGTAACTGACTGTCATACAGAGCAAGGTTAGGAAAGAGCTGGTTCTTTACATCAAGTTAACTGCATACAAAAGGGGCTTCTGCATTTCTCCATTTTCTCCACCAGCAGAGGTAGTCAGCCTGCAACCTCGCCTATTTTGATGATTCCTCGTAGCCCCTGAATCTCTTAACAGCCATGTTCTGTATTTCTCTTTCCTTTCTTCCTTCCCTGCCAGAAGCTTGTATAACTGTTCTCCAACGACTAGTGGTTCTTTGCCATTCTGGACTGTCAGATAATAAATGTGACCAAAACTTCAAAGCTTCACAATACAGCATGATTTTTTACAGAAAGAATTAATTGATTTGGAAATTTTATCAATACCAAAACTATTATTAAAAAAGTTTCCCAAGCAGTTACCTGCCAGTGCCCATTCACCAGTGCCATGTGAGTGACCACTATAATATAAAATGTAGGTATCATGTCTGGGCCCATCTGCTGTCCGAAGTTCAAGAAAAGACTTGATCTTGGAGTGAAGGGTATCAAAGGTCAGTCCGCTCGTAGAGTAATCGCAACCATATGTCTCAATCATGTGATATGCAAAAAATCTTTGGATGGCATTAAGCATGCCAGTAGACCTCAGATTTAACTCTTGCACATGCTCAGGCGGAAGAAGAGTTGGCTGGCCATCAGGACTACAGAAAAGAAAAACAGTTATGATTATGAATTATTTCATGCTTAGTGGACTTTTAGCAACTGGTGATTTTTTTTCCCCTGTGCATATTTCCTCTGCTAGGAAGTAGCACTGTTCTAAATTCAAATTTACTTGAAATGTACAGTTTATGAACAATTCAAAATACTGTATTTGAGTGAGGGACCACTATCTCCCCCTCCCTTCTGTCACATTTCACTTCAAAGGGTATTCCTTACACAGCCCCATGCTATTCCTGCAGCTGCGAGACAGAAGGAGAGAGAGAGAGGAGCTGCGATGTGAACATGCTGCGCTTCTACGATTTCATTAAGTTCCACTGAAAGAGCACTGCCTTCAGACAGACATTTGTTCACACACAACTGGAAAGGAGCACAGGGAGAATGAGTGTTAGTCTGCACAAAACATCACGCAAATCAGTTTCCAATAACAGACTAAAGAGAAATCCGAGTACACGTTTTGCTCAGATATTTTGAATTAATTTCCCTGTGTTCCAAACTAGCTGTTATTCAATATAGTACTCACACAAACACAGTAATTCTTACTTGTGTGTGCTGTTCAGATGCTGATCTTTCAGCGTAAGAAATGTTTCAGATGATGGTACTCACTGCTTATAACATGAAAGTTCTAAGAAAATTACAAACTAGGCCTGGAACAAACCACGTATGTATAGATGTGTATGTGTGTATATATGAATATGCATATATACCAAGAGTCCCTGTGTTCCCTGGGCATTGGACAGATTTTGTGGATGAAAATGTGGAGATGGTCTTACTCTACTAATAGAAAACACAACTTCTTTGTTTTAATATATTTATGTATGTGTGTATTCTTCATGTATTTTGTTTGCAAATCAGTGTGTAAAGCTACCCGCTTTCATTTTTGGTCTTGCTAATTAAATTTTGCACCTCCTCACTTGTCTAGTGTCTTCATGAAGACTGACATTTCACTACTACAATTATATTGAATACATCATCATTACTGTTTGTCTTAGCAAGTGAAGACTGGACCCACTACTGAAACAGTCAAGCTTTGTTAATAAGGACGTTTAGTTCTGTCAGGTCCTAAACAGTTGCTCAAGAGTATCTCATTCACTCAGAAATTAGAGGGAACTGCCAGAGCCAGAATAACATAACACAATGAAAGAATTAAATTATTGCCATGGAAACAAAAAGAATTTATTTCTATTGTAATGTAAATTTTGAAAATTTAGTTTTTTAATCCCTAACAATAATTGACTACATAGATTTTTTTTTTTTAGAAGAGTGCCCAGCTGAAGACTGTAGATCGAAGACTAGAAAATTTGTTTTTACAGTATATTACACTATTTAAGATACAGTGATCTAAGATTAGCACACTACCTTCTGTTTCTTTGCCCGTCATTTTTTTTTCCCTATTCACCAAATCCACTACACACACTGCAAGCTGGGCAGTCTTCATAAATTGGGCAGTTCTATTTTTAAGCCCCTCATTTCAACTTACCCCTCTGCTTCTCTTGTAACTCAAATAGATAACTTACATAGCTCTTGTTTTATCGTTTAGAAAAAAAGGTGTACACACAATTTTAATTATACGGCTAAAGCAGCATTTGCAAGTTTAAGGCTTCTAAGGAAAACACACACACGGGCAAATAATAATAGTACAATCCCTCCACCCCCAAGCATTTCTCATATGGTAACATTTATATTGCAACAAAAATCAGCTGTAAATTCACAATACCAATAACTGACATGTAGTCCACTCGCAAATCTAATTTCAGTGTCCTTTAAATGTAGACACCATCACACTTAATAGAATTAAAAATTGTTTTAAACTGATCTGTCCAGTTTGTTAAATCTCCTGTTATAAAATATCTGCACTCAGTCAAATGCCCCAATCATCCTTTGTGTGAGATATGGAATGCGGAATCTGCCTATGCACGATTGGTGCCTAAAGCATTCATTGGCTTTCTAAAAGCAAATTAGATACATATGAAAAGGTGGAACTGAAGTTACTCATTCCTTTTGGAAGGTGAGGAAAATGAAAAATTCAGTATCCGTCTATTATTTAAATTTGTATGTAATTATTGAAAAATACAAGCAACAGCACTGCATTGCCTCTATGAGCTAACAATACGCTTACACTACCGTGAAGTTGAAATACATGGCAACTATACCTGCAAAAGTTGGTGGGAATCACAACGGCATACCCAACACACGTTCCTCCCAGGCAGTTTCCCAGCTCATGGAAAAGCCCATGAGCCATGGACTCCAGAGGTAAAACGATGAGAAATGCACTCATGAAGATCCCATTGGTTGGCTAAAAAGAAAACAGACAGATTTAGGTATTGCATGGAAAATCCTTCCTATCTGTTGGTTATGGTTTTATGAATAATTCCCTGTGTTTGATCAAACATATTTGGGTCCTGAAACATGCAAGTTATTACAAGTAATGTATACTTTTTTCCCCACATATTACATGGTGAAGTACCCCAAAAACAATGAAAGGCCAATCTGGGGAGAAGGTGGCTGGTAAGCAGCGATCACTCTTCTGAAAAGAATGCATTTGAAAACACTAACAGCACAGGACTTAGGTTTAAAAGCCATGACCATAGCTTAGCTTTACCCATTTAAGCAGGAAAATCAAATGCCAAAAAATTATATATGTGCATAAAATAAGTGTATCTGTAAATATCTGCAGGATCAGGCCTTAATCAGTAAGCACAACAAAGAATATTATGTACCTAGCATCCGATGATAGCATACTATATTGCATCATTAAAAATATAGATGTAACTACTCCTGCTCTTCAATGCCAAGACTTTTTAAAATATCCATCGTGGAATACTATGTATCACACAGACCATGACTTGTGAGAACATTTATGAACATCATTGCAATTAAAAAGACAATTCTTTGTCAGCTACATAAATATCAGATGAAAGAGACAGACATCCACTACATGACTTCATAGCCTTCACACAGCTTTGTGTTTTGTGCATTGAGCTTTCCTGTTTTGTAGGTAAAATGCAGTTTTGGAAAACATTACCCTCACTGATACATAGATGATTTCTGTAAACAAAAAAAAAAAAAGTTTCAAAAGTTAACTAGTCAACCACTAGTACTAGTAAAATAAAAACAGACTTCCGAAATACCAGCTGTCACCGAGAGGCAGAACAGATACAGACTCATTTTAACTATTTTAACATGATGTGACTGGGTTTAATGAGGCATTAAATGCTTTAGGAAAGGTAGAAACAGTATTATAATATATAGCTAACCAGGAACTTTAATATCCATGGTGCAGTTATTACATATTAAAGTTTGTTATGTATCAAATGAAATAAATTCATAGCTATGTATTTCTGTCCTGAGAAGAGTTCTGTGGCCTCTGACCACATCTATGTTGTATTTGCCTTCTTTGCATAGATCTACAATATTATTTTTTTTTTATATATGGATATTGCCTTATTGTTCAACACTTAGTGATTTGATGTGAACTAGTAGTTCAACTTAACACAGAGACAAAGGTAAATAACTATGTTCAGCTTTTAAACATGTAAATATTACACAACTTAGTCTGAAAGAACAGCTTTACCCATCTAATGTGCTTCCTGACCTAAAAAAGAATACCGTTTGCCATTATACTTCTGATAGAAGAATTTCACCTATGTGTCCTTGAAATGACGACAGCAATACTTTTAACCACAAATAAACACTAGGATATGATATTAACTGATAGCATTATTAACTGATAGCACTATTCTCAAATAACTGGTAACTGATAGCATTATTCTCAAATTCCAACACCTGAAACCACTATAAAACTATATCCAGCTCCTATTATGCTTTATACAATTCATGACAAATGAAAAGTTTATTTATTTAGCTTGTAGCTCTCAAGGACATCAGCACACGAGATGCTGAGTAGACATCAAATCCTGTTACAGAACAACCACGGAGGGCCTCCCTTCACCCACAGCCCTGCACAGCTTATCACAAAAGTGCAATTAATATGCTCACTGACTTGCTAACATTCGAGCTACAAAACTGGTTCGGATATAAGATGTCCATCAAGAGGTGGTAATGCTAGTGTTAATACTGCAATCCGATTTCATGTGGTATAATGTTATTTGATGTTTTGTGCTAATAATTTGAATCTACAAGGAGCAATGCGTGCCTACGAAGCACACATACATTATAGGAGATTCACAATCACTTTTACATACATCATTTTCTTAGCCATCTCAGGAGGTACTTTGCATCACTCCAGACATATGCCCTTCCCTACCCCAGCCTCGCTACACTCAGAGGGTCAGGATCAGTGAGCAGATGGAACGTATTGATGACAAGTGCAGAGAAGCATTCGCATAGTGATTCTCAAGTTTTGTGTCAGAGAATTAGGATATTCAGAATTAATTTGCCCCAAATCCATACAATTACCTGAAATCACCAGAAGACAAGAAAGCTTAAAACATTTTAAGAATTATGGTGCAACCTCAACTTGTTTTGTTGTCAGTAAGGAGAAAAAAATCCTATAATTAATACAATATAATTTTTGTTTCAAATGTATCAGCAGAAAGTGCTCATTTTTGTTGCTCAGTTTTTGAAATGCACTCTGAAAATGAAAAGGACTCAGCAGTGGCAATAAAAACTTATAAAGATTTGGTTAGTTTCCATTCTATAGAAACCTTGTAAAATATATGACTGATGAAATAGTGGAGCGCTCTAGCTAAATTAGTTTCAAGATTTGGAGGCTTACTTTTGCAACTGTAGATACCAGAAGGATAATTTGCTTTAAATTAAAAAAAGAAAAAAAAAAAAAAAAAAAAGGAAGACTTGGATCCTGCAGAAACTGAAGTTCTTGTCTGGCAAAGCTTCCTATTCACGATTGGTTAGTTAGAGGATTTTCTAAACCTTGGAAAGACTGAACACATGGACCAGGAAGTATTGTAATGCATTTTTATGAGAAATTCAGCTTTTCCATCATATATAAATATGACTTTTCTTAGATCCTGTTAGAGCAAACTGCTCTTACATTGCATTAGTGTTTTGATTCCAGTGAACACATTATAAAATAAAAAACACTTGCCCATAAAAACTACAGCTATCATAATATCCTAAAGAATACTATCATTACTTTACAAAATTTTATTGTAAAATTTTTCTTACAACATGCCATGTTGTTCTAAACATTCCCTGCATTTCCTTAATCCCCTGAAACATATGCAAGTTATTAAGCCTACAGTGTTTTGCAATAACAGAACTTGAGATCACCACAAAGATTAATAGTTTTCACCAAACTTCGGATTGAGTCTGACTTCTGAAAAAAAAAAAAAAAATTACATTTAATTGTTGAAATTACTCCTACTAATATGAAGATACTGGCAAGAAAATTCATAAGTACTTGTGAGATAAGGGTCCCACAGAGAAACTGTAAGGATCATCTCAGTGATCCATCTTGCTCTGCATCCTGATTTTGGTTTGTACCAAATACTAAAGAGGAATGGGAAATATGTTATGTAGTGTTATGAATCAACTCAGCTCTGTCTGACGGTTCAACTCCATCTTCATTTAGTGGCCATCTTAAAGTAGGAAAGTACTGTTAGTATGGATATTTTACATGTATAAACATCTATCTAATGCAAAGATGCCGGCACTTGCTTTCAGCACTTTTTCAGCAGTTTTGATTTAGAAGAAATATATCACTAACAAATATAAGAATGATTAATGATGTTTAGAGAAGCTCCTTAGTAAGATAATGAAGTATTATAATTCAGCGTTGAAAAAAAAAAAAAGACTGATGACATTTTAAAATACCTAAACTACAAGAACTTGAAGTAGCAAAAAAATAATACCTAATTAAGTTAGTAATTACTGTAAATTCTAAGATAGGTCCCTCTTTTAAGATACCAGGTGGAGACTGCCAGTGCTTTACTAAATCCAAAAGATTTGATGACTGGTCCTCAATGGAGCAGATGGCCATGGATGCATAGGTGAAAACAGAAAGGGATTTTGTTCTTTCATCTATTCAACCAACCCATTTTCATTCTGTTTTCAACTGTACTGGCAATCTCAGCCTGAAGTACATCCCTGTACTTGAAGTGCCTGCTGATTCCAGACAGACTGCTCAAAAAGCAAACAGAAGATGGGGACCATGTCAGCAATCCCACTGAAAACATGAGAAGCCATTTAATCTCTTAATCTTTGGGGTTTTTTGCCTTTGTCTTCTTCTAAATGAATATTTAGGAAATACACAGTGTGTTCTCATTTCAAATAAGGTAAAAGAATATACATCTTGCCTCTGTTGACTGAAATGACAGACAATAAAAGATTGGCGAGATTCACTAGTAGTATTATCTTTCCACTTTCTTTCTTTAGTTTTTCAAGCAATGCTTATTGTTAAGTGTAACTGGTAAAATACCAGAAGAATTTACAGGTATTTTACAGCCAAGATATATAATTTTACATTCATGTATATATGTTCATATATTCCACTATCAAGGAGTAAAGCACTGTCGGAAGTGGAACCATTCCGGAACTGTATTTAACAATGGAGCATTACTGACACATGACTGATGAAAATAACAAGGAGAAAGAAAAAAAAAAACAAAAAACCAAAAGAAACACTTGTTTAAATTGGAAACCAGTTACAAAGACCTGTAGAAGAGCCCTTCTGATTAAAATAGAAATAAATTACTAAACATGTGTCAACTAAGATGATCGCGGAATCACTGAATGGTTGAAGTTGGAAGGTCTCTGGAAATCATCTGGTCCAACCTGCTGCTCAAGCAGGGCCACCTGGAACAGGCTGCCCAAGATTACAGTATCGGACTGACAACTGAGGAGGCTCACAAAGATGTCTTTGTGTATTTCCAAGCAAAATTTCTGCCCTGCTTTCCATCATCCAAGTTTAATAATATTTACTTATTTTTGCATATCCATACACACACACACACACAAGTAAATATAAACTAAACAGTTCTGCTTAGCTCCTCTGCAGTGATTCTGCAATAACAAAGTATATGCTCCATGATGGAGAAGGCTCAGGAGAAAAAGGATAATGTGATAACTAATCTACAAATATTTGATGGATAGCTTATTCCAAATGAAAACAAGATATGTATGTTACAGGTAAAAAGAAGCTTAAAGACAAAATTTGTAAAGTTATAATGTAGAATAACTAGCAGACAAAACAGTCTTATAACAAGCTACTGAATGAAAGAACAGTCTCTGGAGAACAATAAATAATCCATTACTTCTAACTATTAAAACAGCACTGGGAAAATCTAGAAAACAGTTTGCAGAAAATAGTTGTCA